CCCTGGGATTTCCAGGGATTTCCCAGGATTTTGGGATGTTCCAACACGGTGGGAGCAAAGGAGGAGCCCGGTAGGGATTTGCTCCCAGAGGTTTCTTTCCCAAAAAATTTGTGGAAAAGAGGGAAAAGGGGCTGGAAAAACACTGGGAAAAACATCAGGATAACGCCAGAATTCCAGGAATGTTGGTGTGTCCTCCCCCCACTTGTCATTCCCTGGGATTTCCAGGGATTTCCCAGGATTTCGGGATATTCCAACACAGAGAAACCCAGCAGGGATTTGCTCCCAGAGGTTTCTTTCCCAAAAAATTTATGGAAAAAGGGAGAAAAGGGGCTGGAAAAGCACATCCAGCGACTCCAGCTTTTTTCCCGCATTCCTGGTTTTTTTTTGAGGAGAAGAGAAGCTTTTGGGAATGGAGGGATGAGAGATTCCCGGCGGGAAAGGAACGGCAGGAATGGGAATGAGCTTTTCCCGCTGCTTTTCCCGGGAATTCCAGCCCCATTTGGGGGGTTTTTTGGGTGGTTTTTCCATCAGAGATTCCAGGATAAGAGGATTTTTTGGGAATGGAGGGATGAGAAATTCCTCCAGGGCAGGAATGGGAACGAAATTGGAATGGGAATGAACTTTTCCCGCTGCTTTTTCCCAGGAATTCCAGCCCAGTTTGGGGGAAGTTCTGGGTGGTTTTTCCATCGGAGATTCCCGGATTTTCTATAATCCAGAGCGGATTTTTTGGGATAAGAGAAGTTTTTTGGGAATGGAGGGATGGGAGATTCCCAGCGGGAATGGGAATGAGCTTTTCCTGCTGCTTTTTCCCAGGAATTCCAGCCCGTTCTGGGGGTGTTTTTTGGGATGGTTTTTCCATGGGAGAAGCTCCGGATTTTCCCCCAATCCCGAGAATTCCAGGCTGATCCCATTCCCAGAGGGACAAACATCCTCCGGGAGGAGCTCCAGGAATTCCCTGAATCACTCGGAAGCCGAGCTGGAGAAACCAGATTCCCAAACTTTGCTCCCATTCCCAAAGGATTTCGACATCCCCCCCATCCAAACCCTCCTCCGGCTCTTCCCACATTCCCAACAATCCCCCGCCGGGAATGTGGCTCCCAGATCCCAAAAAACTCCTCCTGGAGACGCCCAAATCCAACTTTTTGGGCCTAAAACCATTCCCAGGCCACCCAAGATTCCCACTTTTCCGGGAGCTGGAGGAGAATTCATGGAATTCCAGGACCAGGAAAAGAGGAATCCCAGGAGTTTTCAGCCCTAAAACCATTCCCAGGTCACTGAAATTCCCACTTTTCCAGGAGCTGGGGGACAATCCAAGGAAATTCCCTGTCTGGGTGACAATCCATGGAATTCCAGGAGCAGGAAAAGAGGAATCCTGGCAGTTTTCAGCCCTAAACCCATTCCCAGGTCACCGAAATTCCCACTTTTCCAGGAGCTGGAAAAGAATCCAAGGAAATTCCCTGTCTGGGTGACAATCCATGGAATTCCAGGTGCAGGAAAAGAGGAATCCTGGCAGTTTTTGGCCCTAAACCCATTCCCAGGTCACGGAAATTCCCACTTTTCCAGGAGCTGGGGGAGGTTCCACGAGGGAGAATCCATAGAAAAGCCGGGATGAGGCTCTGGGAACGCTCCAGAGGGAGGGGAGGGAACGGCAGGGCGGGAATCCTGGAATTTGATCCCGAAAAGGGAGCCCAGGGGAGGGTTAATTAAAAGCAGGAATAATTAATTCATGATCCCTCAGGGCTGGAATTCCACCCGGGATGAAATTCCACCAGCTCAGGGACATTCCAAGGGGGGGGAAAAACATGGAAAAAACCCTCAGGAATATTAAAAATAACAACGGGAAGGAGTTTGGTGGGAATGGGACGGACGAAATCCGGGGTCAAAGGGAGGGTTGGGGCCTAAAAAGGGACGTTTTGGTCCCAAAAATGCAACTTTGGGGCCCAAAAAGGGAGATTTGGGACCCAAAAATGTCGGTTTGGAGCCCAAACATTCCCCTCACGCCAGTCCCAAACATTCCAAACCCCCGATCCCAAACATCTCCTCACCCTGATCCCAAACAT